AGGAAGATTCCAGATTGTGGGCTTCTTGGTTAGAAGCAGTGTCATCAATCGCTTTTTCCTTCCCTTTGCTTGCGTGAAGTCGGGATGAAGACGTTCTTCCTCTTCAGGAAGATTCTTGCCTGGGTGGCGAATCTGTCTTCTGAGATTTGGCCTTGTCTGCGACAAGTTGAGTCAACAGGGCCATGAGTTCATTGATGGCCTCCTGCTGAGATTTGAGCATGGCCTCCTGCTCATCAAGTCTCTTCGCGAGGTCTTTATGGTTTCCCGTCATATAAGCGGAGCTCTCATGTTCAACAAAAGAGCTTGATGATTGGGACTCTGCAATGGCTGAGTGTTCATAATCGGAATTGGTTCCTCTGGCTAGCCTCCGATAGTTGATAGGGAGAATGGCTCATGTTCGTGTCCGAGTGCGTTGGTAGACTCCTTCAAACTCGTTAGCGATTTCTCTGACGGTCGGTGAATGACTTGTCTCAGAGTCATCGGAACTAGGACCTGAGGCTTTCCCTCTGCCGATCACATTGATAGTGACCCCAGGATATTCGGTCTCTGGAGACTTCTTCCTGTGAGAACGTCGTTGTTGGTTAGGCAAAGTAACGTTTGTAAATTGGTCGAACACCAACAGTTTGGCCGCATATGAGCAGCATTGACATCCCGAGAGGGCCGTATGAATCAGTCGTTCACATTGGAATGAATGAATGATTTGTTGCATCGGTCTTTCTCTCGATATGAACTTTCTTAAATCTGTTGTGAAAATTCGAGGAGAACTACTCATTGATCGTGGGGTTTGAATTGGAACCCCCAGTCCATGATTGGACGGGACTGGCTCCTGGTGAGCATGGATATGGTTGAGATGCCTTGAATCCAAAGACTTCTTATATCCGCCCCTCGATCTAATCGCGCTACGCAGAGTATTGCTGGTGAAACGTATGCCTGAGCTCCAGGTGTTGCTGGTGAAACGCAGGTCTGAGGGCTGCGTTCAGTCTTATTCACACAGAGCCTATGTTTGGGCTCATGGACGCGAGGCTTGCGTTCTGAAGCAGAAACGCCTGAGCTCCAGGTGTTGCTGGTGAAACGCAGTCCTGAGGGCTGCATTTAGCTTGGCTTATGCAGAGCTCGTGTTGAGGCTCACAAACGCGAAGCTCGCGTTGATTGGAGGATCGGCTGTTTTGGAGTCGTGCCGAAACTAAGTCTTCTTCTTCAGAGAGGGGACTGTATGAACAGTGCAACCCCCAAGGGAGACAGTCCTTTAACGAGTCAGCCATAACTAGAGCTTTAGTCTCCTTGAAGACTTTGCAGATCTTGCGCATACCCTTGGGGCTAAGGGATCCGGATGAGAGGGCTTCCTCAAACTTGGCTTGATCAAACTCAACAATAAGAGTTTCGACGGTTGTTCCAATGAGATGAACGTCGGATTGCACCACCACCTCTTCGTCAGAGAAGCTAGTCCCTAGCGGAGTCGCCATCTTTTATTTGTGGAAAAATTTACAGTAAAAGAAACGAAGGAAAATTGATTTATATTCTCTCGATCTCGATTACAATTGGATTTCCTGATTACAAAAGAGAGGAGAATTAATCTGGATTCTCCCATTTGTTTAATTCTGGGTTCTTCACGGTGGCGATGGAGTGTCTCCCTCGAATGCTCGCGTCGAGTTTACTCTCCGTTGATGATCCGCATGTCTTGATTCACTGGAACGGTATCTCCTCCTCATGATTTGACATTGTGGAGAACTCTGAATGAGTTTGAAACTCTATGAAAGAGTTGATTTAACCGAAATCGGTCTATAAGCCAAGGATGAAGAAAGCTCCTGTTACTGATCTCCAAAGCTCCAGCAATTCTCCCCAAGATCTCTTCTTTGCTACCCAAAAGAAGGATGAAAGATCCAGCCCCGAACTAAGTTGATTTCTTAGTTATTTATAAGGGATTAAGGGGTGTAACCGCCCCCTTAATTCGCTCCTTTGTGGGGATAATGGGATGTAACCGCCCCCTTAATCTACTCCTAAGTGGGGGCAAAAATCCCTCAGATCATGGGGAAGAAAACGGTTTCTGGAACCGTTCAACTCATGTTTGAACGAGTCAAATGCAGGTCCTGCATTCTGGAATAAAATCTGCGTTTGGACGCAGTGTTTGCAAGTTACGTTGGGCAACAGATGGAACCTGCGTTGGCAGCTGTTAGAAGCTGCGTTTGGCAGCAGTTGGAAGCTGCGTTGGGCAGTGGTTAGAAGCTGCGTTGGGCAGCGGTTGGAAGCTGTGTTGGGTAACGGTTAGGAAGCTGCGTTGGGCAGCGGTTGGAAGCTGCTTGACAGCGGTTGGAAGCTGCGTTGGTAGCAATTGGAATCTGCGTTGGGCAGTGGTTGGAAGCTGCATTGGGCAGCGGTTGGAAGCTGCGTTGGGCAGCGGTTGGAAGCTGCGTTGGGCAGCGGTTGGAAGCTGCGTCGTCGTTTTGTAATCTTTGCTTTAGCTCTTTGATATGTGAGAGTCGTCAGATTGTAACTCCCGATGTTGATTGTGAAGGTTGTTGATTAGAGCTTTTATCAGTTGTTGTGAAGGTCGTCAGATTGTAACCTTCATCGATCTACGTGAAAGTCTTTAAATTATAGCCTTCTGGAAGTCGTCAGATTGTAACTTCCATCATTGGTATTTGATAGGGAATCAGCTATCTATTGTAATTTTTAGACAGCCTACAGACAATAATAATTAAATTTATGCACATTAATAGGCAACATCAGGAAAAACTTAAGAATGAAGTTACCGGTAGTACAGCTGTACATGACCTTAAAGAAAGGCATATGAAGGAATTCCCTGCTTGGTTGAATAGTGAGGTAAGTATTGTTAAATTTAGTAATATTTGTATTTCATTGATAAAAAACTTAGAAATTATTGATTTAATAGTTTGCTTATTTTTGTATATTTAGATCCAGGAACAACTTGTCCTTAATAATCAAATATCAGAAGAAGTGAAGGTTCACGCAAAGCGGCCTTACTATGCTGTAATTCAATATGGTGGGTATCGTGTTAACGGTTATAAATTTCACACAATGGAGGTTGATGATACGAAGGTCACCCAGAATAGTGGTGTCATGGCTATCTTCTCACGGGAATGTTTCTCAAACAGAAGAGATCAGAATCCAGTTGAAAATAATATGACATATTATGGAAGGTTGGAAGATGTGGTGGAGATATTCTACGGCTATGGTGGTCCAAATGAACATAAATACATGATGTTCATGATTCGTTGGTGTTTTACAAAGACTCAAAAGGATCCCTTTGGATTTACAATTGTCAATCTCGATAAAGAAATTGATAGTGATGAAAAATTCATGTTTGCATCTCAGGTGGGACAATGTTTCTATATGAAAGATCCTGCAGTTAAAGACGAACGGGTTGTCCTGTACAAGGATTCTAGGGCTTATATTCAACCTTCTACTAATGAAGATGATGACGAGAGCTATATAAATAACTTCAATGAGCCAAATGCAGCGATCGATGAATTCTCGTACCCTCAAAACGTAGTGTTTGAAACGGATGCTCCAACAACTTAGACAGACATTCCAAATATTATCACAGACATTAATAGAAGCTAAACAACAATTATTTTTAGTTTGCAAATTGTATAATAAAAACTTTAATATCACTACAATGTATCTCAATTACCTTTTGGACGATATATATATGTAATATCTTATTTTGTATATTCAGCTTGCAAATGCCTACAAACTTGATGTGAAATGAAAAATTTAGTAACGCAACAATACATATTGTTTTTATTTTCGCCAAGCTAATTTGCATCTATGTTATATTAATTTGTATGTTTATTCAACTTGCAGATGTCTAAAAATATTAACAGGAGGTTATTCGAAGCTAACCCCAGTCAAGACCAATCCACTGAGGAAGAGCCTCCGAGTTCAGGAGAGATGTCAGGTATAACTTAGTTTAACTTACGTATTTTTATTCATGATATATGCACAATGATAATTATTTCTTTTATTTTTATAGGTGAGGGTGAGGAAGAGCCGACTCACATACCATTACATGCAGATCCTCCAGTTATACTTCGAGCATACATTCCTGGGATTGAGCGCGGGCCCTTACCAGCATGTGCAGAGGGGTACAGACTCAAGCAAACAGAAAAATACATGCTTGCTAAAAAACGATTGGATGAATGAGGCCCACAAATTGATGAGATTTTGTCTAATGCAAAAAATGAAATCAGACAAAGATTTGGTGAGTTTGATCAAAAACTTAATCAATTCCAGAATTTTTCTTCTTCCTTTTTTAGTAAATTCTAAGAGCTTAAATAAAAGTGTTGATTAAATAAAAGTGTTGATATATCTATTATTTCTTTTTTGTAGGAGAAAAACTTTACCAGAAGAAAGGACGCCAAGGAAGTGACTTTAAAAAAAAGTTACCACCGGATGGTTTTCGAGCAATTGTGAGATGGGGACATAATGGGATTCCAACCGGACAGTGGGCTAATAACTTCAGCTCATACCTTGGATGTTTGATACGGAGGAGTGATAATGTGAATCCTTATTACGAGGCTTTGGAGCAGCCATTTCATGTCCTGGAGAGTATATATCGAGATTGTTGGGTAAATTCTTATATTTAGCACAATTATTTTTCAATTCTGTCAATTGTCCATGCTTAACTATATTTTATTTTTTAGAGATATTTCAACATCGAAGACAATCCTGTAGGGTGGGAATTTTTATTTGGATACCAGGGAAAGTTCAAGCATTCTCTTCGGGAGTGGAGACATGAGATAAAGAAGAAATGTTTTGATTGTTTCACTCACAACTGGGAGAGGATATACAAGCGAGATAAGAGGGTTGAGCCTGAGCACTTAGCTGCACTTATAATATTGTGGGGCCAAGAGGAGCACCAGGTAAATATGTATAGTAGTTAATTATTATCAAGTTATTTATCTGAAACTAGTGATATATTTCATTGTATATTATAGCTTGTACTAAAATTCTCTTTGTTCATGTTGAAGAAAAAATGTCGGAGAAATAAACTTAATCGATGGAAAAAAGATTATGATCATCATACGGGGACTACTTCATTTGCCCAGATTGAGGATCAATTTTGTAGGACAACGGTATAAAGTCTTTTAATCTTCTATATATATTCTCTCCGCTTCTTAGAATATTTGATAAATAAAACTAATAAATATATTTTTAAATCTCAGAACGCTCCCTTTATCCCACTACCAGAACTGCACAGGAGAACGATGGTTCAATTTAAGAAGGGGTACGATGACGATGAGAATAGGAAACAAAAGCTAGAATTGGCCAAGAAAATGCAGGTTAACTAATTATCTTAGCTCTTATTAGCCTGTTCTTTTGTTGGAAATTTATTGTTTGCACTCTTCTTTTGGTCATCTTAATTATCATACATGAATTATATGTGTGAAAGTGTTAACTAAGATGCATGCATACATCTAAGGTAATGCAAGCTTCTTCATGCATAGAAATTAAGATAAACCGGTATAATAGTTAGAAATAGGAACTCAAAGGAGTGGCATCAAGTGTCCCATTCAAATTGGTGTTGTTGTGTTTGACAGTAGTGTACAAAATTTTATTGACTCAGAATACTATAGGAATGCCTTATTATGCACTGAAGCAAGCAAGCAACCACAAAAACAATACATCATGTAACACTAATACAAGTTTATACTTAGTGTTCCATTTCCTTCCCGAGTTACTATGACACATTCGTATGAGGGGCTTGCTTGTTAGGATATAACAATGCATAAGAAATAACATACGGTAACATGATTGATCTAGTTGGTTTTATTCTCTGAAACCTTTGAATTGCTGATGACAAAACTTTTCCTATCACCTTACAAGCCAAAGCACCCTTCAACTATTTATTAGCACTTAACACCCTTCTTCATATGTACTTTTATGTTGCACAAAACACCCTTCAACTATTTATTAGCACTTAGCCCGCCTCAGTTGTGGAACTATTTCATCTTTTATTTTACTTATTCAGGTAAATATCTTTTATTTTTAAAAGGCCAATTCTTAAATTTATTTTTTTGTCTTCTAGGAAGCTCTGGAAAACACATATTCTGATGTTGTTGCACAGAGCCAGGAGCCCCTGACTAGAGAGCAGAATTATAATGTGAGCCATTTAGTTTGTGGACTTCCCAAAAAAAGGAGGACCAGGTGGATGGGAGTTGGAGCTCAGAGGGTGTCTACACAATTCCAGCCTCCACTGATTTCAACACCATCGACTATGCCATCGGGGCCCTCTTACACGCCGCAGGAGGATTACACTCAGCAGGCGATGCAGCTTGTTTCCTCTGTGATGAATATGTTAGATGGTAAGATTCCCGAGGAGATGTGGGAGGATATTCAAGAGGATCTTATGCGAGTGATCCAGCCTACTGCTACTTTTGCGATGGTTTCTAGGCAAATAATGAAATCTTGTAGAAGGCGGGTTCCTACTCGGGTGCAAAGCCAGATTATGAACTTCTTGGCCACTCAAAAGGTATTTACTGGTAGTGGAGAGAGTAGCAGACATGTATACTTATTTTATATGTAAAACATGATTACACACAATATTATGTGATTCTAAATTTAAATTATTTTTTTGTTAGGGTGGAGATGATGCTATTGGGAGCACGAGTCGTAGGGATGGAGCCGCTAGTGGCAACGCTGACGATGACATGGATAGGGCGGATGACCTATCTTAGTGAGTTATATCCTAAACTTGTGTTTGTATATTGTGGACATCTTTATAGTTGAGATTATGATATGCGTGTATGGTTTGATGTGGATTTAGAACTTATGACATGTGTGAATGGTTTGATGTGGATTTAGAACTTATGACATGTGTGTATGGTTTGTTGTGAAAATTGTTGTGGATTTGGAACTTATCGTGAAAAGTGAATGTACATATTTCGAATGTTTGTGAAAATTGATTGGATGAGAGATTTAATTGGGAAAATTTGGATTGTATTTATTTCGAGATGTTTTAGAATGCGAATGAAATGTCGTTTGGAGATTTATATGTACAGTGAGTTGATATGTACAGGGAACTTAATACAATCAGCAGAAAATTTTTTTAGCTGATATTACTTATCGCTGACGGGTTACCCGTCAGCGATAATTATCGCTAACGGGGTTCCCGTCAGCGATGTACATAATATCATTAACGAGAACCCGTCAGTGATATTTNCGGATAGCCGTCAGCGATATTATGTTCATCGTTGATGGGTTTTCCGTCAGAGATTAATATTGCTGATGGGGATCCCGTCAGCGATATTAAGTTCATCGCTAACGGGGAGCCGTCAGCGATACATATCGCTGACGGGTTTCCCGTCAGCGTTTATCTGTTCAGCGACGACGATCAGTCGTCAGTAACATCTATCACTGACGGTATCGCCGTCAGTGATAGTGAAACATCGCTGACGATCAGTCGTCAGTAACATCTATCACTGACGGTATCGCCGTCAGTGATAGTGAAACATCGCTGACGGGATTCCCGTCAGTGATGTTTCACTTTCACTGACGGCTTTCGCCGTCAACATTAATGCCGTCAGTAATAAACATTACTGACAGCTGCCCGTCAGGGATAGTTCTTCCCTGACGGGACTATCACTGACGGCTTATCCTTGACGGGAAGCCGTCAAGGATATTCATTACTGACGGGAATTTAGGCATTCTTGACGGGAATGCCCGTCAACGATGCCTAGTTTTAAGGATATTCATTACTGACGGGAATTTAGGCATTCTTGACGGGAATGCCCGTCAACGATGCCTAGTTTTCCACCAATGAATGATATTATGATGAGTAATTTAAGGAAAATTTATTTTGTGTAAAAGTGGTTATTTTGAGATGTTTTAGAATTATTATGATGAGAAAAGAGATTATTTGGAAAATGAGTTGGTTTTGGATAATTATTAAAATAGATGATTTAAAATAATTTATTTTAGAAAAACAGGTTATTTTGAATTGTTAAACTATTTTGAAAAAAGATTATTTTAGAATAGTTATTATGAATTAAAAGAATTTATTTCGGTAGCGGAATTATTTTTGGATAATTATATTAATTAAAAATAATTTATTTGAGAACAGAATCATTTGAGGAAAATTTATGATAATTTTAAAAGAATTTATTTTGGAAAAGGAATTATTTTCTGAATTTCATAGTTGTTGTTCCTGATTTATAATTCTTAATTTTGATTACTTGATATGCTATGATATTATTTCACATGATTAGTTGCATTGATTGTCCATGTTATGTTGAGAACCCTTAGTAGTTCATGACTTAGTGGCCTCGTGCGTCATGAACAGACCTAGTGACATGTGTGAGTGTGTTGACTGAGTTTAGGTGATGAACCCGAGTTTCAAAGAGGTTTATGGTTGATTTAGAAAGACGAGAAGAGTTGGGATGAGAAAGTTAATGTTCATGTGATCGGATGTGGTTGTTGATGTATCTTCTAGACTCGCACCGGTGACCTGTTTTGTCCTGGGGTTGGTTTGTTGGACAAAGTGGCCTGTTTCGTCACTTTGATCCGTGACCTGTTTCGTCACTTGAGCTTTGCCTGAGTTCGGACCAGGCCGAGATGGATTGCGTGTAGTCCTCTAGCCGCTTGTTTCACGGGATTGGATGCATGTAGGGGATTTGTGAACAGTCAGTTATCCGATGATATGAGTGTTGACTCTGTGTGAGATGTGACCAGTGACCTATTATAGAATGGCTAGTTACGTGATCTCGCTTCTTGGCTAGGTATGATTTCTTGTGAGATGTAGGCTAGTTGTGTTTCTCTTCGTACAAAGATCGGAGTTAATATTTAATTATTTACAATTCGAGACATATTGTATATACATGAGGGTTTCCTTGTTTGGATTATTTCGCTAGACGTACTACGTCTCGAGTTGTAGATTTTTAGGTATTAATTCTATCTAGTGTATGCCCCTGTTACTTTGATGATTAGTCTGTTCGCTAGTTGCATGATCTCGCTGCATGATCTCGTTACTTGATCGATTTTGGATGCTTTATGTCTATCGTGTTTTAGTAGTGAATTTATATGTTGATTTTGTTGGATTTCCGTTCGTTCTATTTTCTTTGTGGGGTCGGGTCTTACCGTGTGCTATACACGCTGACGTACACCTGTTTTGTGGTGCCCCTGGGTTCACACAAGGCTGCAGTCCGAGGTGAAACCAGGAATGTCAAACCTGCCATGCACCACACCGTGCAATAACATGTTTCACCATCACAATTACTATCTCTCTAGTGGAATCAACAACAGGTGTAGGTACAAAGCAAGTAAAAGATTTTATAATAAACACATGATGAAATGATAGATTTCAGATTAATACATCTCATCAACCAAATAAGCTGGAATACAAAGTCAATGTCTGAAATGAATAATAACAGTTTGGAGATCTCAACATGTCTCAAAATACAAAATATCTAATACATGAAATAAGGCACACAGCCTTTACAACTCTAGAATATAAATCTCTCAAGTCTAAAAATATCTTGAGTGGAGTACAAAAATGAAATACATCTAATAAGAGGATAAATGGGCACTAATAAGAATCGCCCTCAACCTACGACTCTCCGGACTCCTGGCTCGTTACCTGAAAGGGGGAGGGACAACGAGCATCAAAGCGCTAGCGAGCAACATCATAACCAACCCCAAGGGAACATGGCTCATTGTATAAGAAAATACAAATAATACATAATAGATCTAAAATCATTGATCTTACTAAAGAGGATTTTAGTATTTAGAAATTTACAACACGAGCATAGGTACGTCGAGCGAAATAATCCAAACAAGGAAACCCTCATGTATATACCTTGTATCTCAAATTGTAAATCCCTAAACACCAAACCCGAGGTTCTAGTATAGGAACAATAATAAAAGAAAACACAACTCATCACGGAACATAACTACAGTGTCATGTCATAGCCTACATAACTGTCGTGAGATATAAGCTACTACCCTCTGAGTCTGCATCAATATGCCTCCTAAGCCTGCCAACGATGCATCTGAATACACGACAAATGTCCTGTCGCTGCTCGGAATAGTCAAAACTGGAGCTGTAGTCAACTTAGCCTCAAAATATCAAAGGCCTTCTGGCACTTCATGCTCCATATGAACTGTACACCCTTCCTTGTAAGGTGTGTAGTCGGCGTCGCAATCTTCGAGAAGTCCTGAATGAACTTCCTATAATATCCAGCTAAACCCAAAAAGCTGCGAATCTCTATCACCGTCTTTGGTGGCTCCCAATCAAGAACTACCGTGACCTTAGCTGGGTCCACTGCTATGCCCTCTCTACTGATGATGTGGCCAAGAAATCTGACTTCTGAAAGCCAAAATTCACATTTGCTAAACTTAGCATATAACTGATGCTACTATAGAGTCCTCAACGCTATCCGTAGATGCTCCTCATGATCTACCTCCGATCTCGAGTAAATAAGAATATCATCGATGAAAACGATCACGAACTGATCTAAGAAGGGACGGAAAACCTGGTTCATCAAGTCCATGAACACCGCGGGTGCATTGGTCCACCCAAATGGCATGACCAAGAACTCGGAAGAACCATATCGAGTAAGAAAGGCGGTCTTGAGAATATCCATCCCTCGAACCCGCAACTGATGATAGCCAGAACGAAGATCAATCTTCGAGAAATACTACGCCCCCTGCAACTGGTCAAACAAGTCATCAATCCTAGGTAGTGGATACCTATTCCGGATAGTGACCTTGGTCAACTCTCTATAATCCATGCCTAATCTCATACTACCGTCCTTCTTCTTCACGAAGAGGACCGACGCGCCCCACGGAGAATGACTCCCGTGAATAAAACCCTGAGCTAACAACTCGTCCAACTGGGTCTGAAGCTCCCTCATCTCAGCTGGTACCATGCGATAGGGTGCGCGGGATATCGGGGCTGTGCCTGGCTGCAACTCAATACAGAACTCTACCTCTCTCACCGGAGGTAATCCAGGTATGTCCTGAAAGACATCCTGATACTCTGAGACAACTCTAGTCTCCAATAACTCAGCACCCTGATCCCGTCGCATCGCCTCCTCGATGTACGCCAGAACTGACTCCGCAAATTGGTTGCCCTGAGAGGTGGCTACAATTATCTCGGACCCGTCGGACGC